TTTTTTTTTTCCCCTTCAGTATCTTTTTTTTTCTTCTTTCAGTTTTACTGGCACATAATCCACATCATACAATTCAATCGTTTATTCATGTCAAGAAGAGTTGCGCAATCATTACCACTAACCCTTTTCTTCAAATAAGTAAATCTTAGAACTATATCATATTTTTGAGTTTGTAAATTAACATAAAATGACACTCTTGGTAGGACATGTATTTTGAGCTGTTTTCTTCAAAAAAGACAACCTCACTGCCTTCAAGTCGATTCCAGCACACAGTGATCCTGGGTGCCCTGGTGGCACGGCAGTTTTACACAGTGGGCGGCTGGCTGACTTTAAGGACGGCAGTCTGAATCCATCAGCTATTCTGGGAGAAAGAAGAAGCTTTTGACTGCCATCAAGTTTTAGTCTCAGAACTCCACAGGGGCAGTTCTCTTCTGTCCTAGGGCTACACAGGCTCCCAAACTGATTTGGCATACCATAGATATGCGTGCACATGTGTGTATAGGAAAGGGTTGTGTGTACTGGTAAAAGTGTGTGATGTTGTCGTAGAAAAAATACCCTGGGCAAAGCAACGGCAGCCGGCGAGGGTCAGAGGTCGCCTAGCCAGCCGCGGAGCGCTTGATCCCACTGGGAATGGCAGCCCCGTCTATGAAAGAAAGGCAGGCTTGCTGGGGAGCCCGAGATGAGTACTGGAAGTGTTTAGATGAGAGCACGGACGATGCTTCTCAGTGCAAGAAGTTAAGAAGCTCCTTTGAATCGAGTTGCCCCCAACAATGGATAAAATATTTTGATAAAAGAAGAGACTACTTAAAATTCAAAGAAAAATTTGAAGCAGGACAATTCCAGCCTTCAAAAACAACCACAAATTCCTAGATTGTACCTGAACTTTCCACAGAACTTGACTGCACATACAAAGCCCTGTTAACCTTAAGGACAATAGTAATTACCAGTCCTATTTGAATTAAGGTAAATGTCAATACTTGTTCTCTGTAAAGGACTCTTAATAACTAAAGTGATCAAATAACAGGATTCATTCAGACTATGAGTAATCGAAATAAATGGTGTAAAATAAAAAAAAAGAAAAGAAAAGAAAAGAAAAAAATACCCTAACTCTATTAAAGGAAACAAAAGAGCTCTACTGAAGGTAGCCCTTTTCAGAAAAAAAAATTACTCAGCGCCTCTCTGGCAATTAAAAACTTTTGTACATAATCAAGTGGAAAGCCATGTCCTCGATTGTTCCAGCCCCACCTACTTTAGGAAATACTGAGCTATACCTTGATAGAAACTGTGGCATCGAGGAATGAGAGGCATAAAACACACACACACAGAGCTAAACTCTTTGCCATCAAGTGGATTCTGACCAGCAACACTACAGGACAGAGTAGAACTGCCCCTCTGGTTTCCAAGGCTGAAATCTGTATTGAAGTAGGCCACCATATCTTTTTCTCGTGGATCTACTGGTGGCTTTGAATTCCAACTTTATGTTAGCAGTCAAGTGGTTAATAACTACACCACATGGAGAGGTGTGTGTGTGTGTACAATTTATTCTATATAAATTAAGTCCCTTGTGTTGGTCTGGGTGGATTAGAGAAATTCATAAACACTCATGTGTATAAGAAAGAATTTTATATAAAAGGGTAACTGTATACTGAGAAGACATCCCAGGCCAGTCCAGATCAAGTCCATAAGTCTGATATTAGCCCATATGGCTGATAACAGTCTATAAGTTCCTCTTCAGACTCATGCAACACATGCAATGATACTGAGTGCAGGAAAATCACGGGGTACTGGGTGGAAAGTCTTGTGGATCCAGTGGCTGTGGAAGTGTCGTAGCACAGGCGTGGGTCTCCACATGGCTCTTCCAACTCCAAGGCTCTGGCTGCATCAGCATAACTCCATCAGGCTTTTCATCAGGAATGTCTCCTAGGGAGAGAGTGAGTGTGGGCCTGGCCTCCAGTGAGCTATTTATCTCTGTATCACCTCCAAATGAGGTCATCAGGTTGCAACCTGATTGACAGGCTAAACTCCACCCCTTCACTCTGAATGGTCCCAAATTGGCACCAGATTATGTAACTACCACAGCCCTCAAAGACAGTGAAAGCAACAGTCAGAATATGAATTCACTCCAGCTACAGTTAGAGCCTAAAAGGACTTGAAAATAAAACACCCCTCCAAATGAACAAAAATTGTGAACTAAATTAGATATTCAACTAGAAATCTTAGAAATGGAATATATAGTCATTGAAATAAGAACTTAATGAAAAGATTAAACTCCAAACTCGAGTGAGTTGGATGAAATAAGTAAACTAGAAGACAGATTGTGGCATTCACTTTGAAAGCGGTATGTGGAAATAAAAAGAAACAAAATGAAAATGCAGGTAAGAGACCTTGAGACTCCAAAATACATATGACCGGTGTTTCTGAAGAAGAGAAGTAGAGGGAATGGTGGAGAAGCAATATTTGAAGAGACACTGACTGAGAATTCTCCAGATATGAAAAAAATCCTCCCATCAAAAGTGCTTCCCCATAAATGAAGACACTAGAAGTACACAAGAACAAGGATCATTTTGATTTCATTAGTTGCACTAGTACCAGTAACACCAAAGCACCTGTGTGAATTACAGAGGTATATGAGGGGGTAGCCCCCTAAAATCCAGAATTTTTTTCCAAAGCTCTTACAAAATAACCTTATCACCTTCAAAGTACTCTCCATTAGACTTAATATATTTGTCAAATCTGCGATTCCATTCTTGGAAACATTTTTCAAACTCATGTTTGGATGGCTGACAGCACCTCTCTCATTTTTTTTCTTCACCTCTTCTTTGTCATCAAATCACTGTCCTGTCATGTCCCTCTTGGTGGAAAGAAACAGAAGTAGCAAGGAGTGAAGTCAGATGAGTCAGGTGCTTAGGGCAAGAGAGGTATGCTGGTTTTTTGGTTTGTTTTGCCTAAAACTGGCCACTGAGATGGCTGTGTAAGCAGGTGCATTGTCGTGGTGGCAAAACTAGCCCTCCATCTGCCACAAATCAGGCCTTTTTGTTGCACACTGTTATGCAATTTTTTCAAAACCTCTAAATAGAAAGCTTGATTAACAGTCTGACCTAGTGGAACAAATTCCAAATGCACTATCCCCCTCACATTAAAAAAACAAAGATCTTTGATTTGCTGGATGAGTTTTTGGGGGCGAGGTGATGATGGCGTCTCCCACTGGCTTGATTGATGTTTGCTTTCAGAGTCGTAAGAATAGCACCATGCCTCATCACCAGTAATTACCTTGGGGAAAAACAAGTCTACGTCACTTTGTCACTTTGGAGCTGTTCTTTCAAAGCATGCATGTTTCCACTCGAAGCTTTTATTCCTGGTCATTCAGAACATGAGGCACAAATTTGGCAGCTATCCATAAATTCCCAAATCTTATGCCAAAATTTGCTGAACTGAGCTCCAAGATAATTCCAGTAACTTCCCCATATCTTCAATAGGCCGTCGTTGATCTTCACGCACAAGTGCACGAATTTTGTTGACATTTTCATCCATTTGGGAAGTTGACAGACATCCAGAATGAACTTTGTCATCAATTGACATTTCACCTTTTTTGAAAGGAGAAAACCACTCGTACACGAGTTTTTCCCATAGCACTGTCCTTGTAAACTGTGTTCAACATCACAACAGTTTCTGCAGCATTTTTCCAGAGCAGGAAACAAAATTTCACAGCTGCACGCTGGTCTTTTAAATCAGCCATCACAAAAAAACAAGGTTCAGGGGAAACTGCTTGAGAAAAACCCACTGTGACCAGAGAGAACCGTCCCAGGAACTGGGGCACTAATTCACAGCGAGTTGCTCGATGCTTGCCTAGGAGGGAAAATGTGAAAGCTCTACCACATAGAGATTTTTCTCTGTGTTGTTTTTTGGGGGGTACCCCTCATATATGTGTACATCTATGTGTATAGGAAAGAAATGCCTGTACCAGAATATACATGTGCATGTTTTTACAGAAAAAGGACTCTAATTCTGTTAAAGGAGACCAAGAGATTTGTTGAAACCGAAATATCATTCTACTGGGAATCATGGAGATCTCAACAAATGAAGTGATGAATTCAAGGGTGGGTGCATGAATCACACACATATAAGGGGTCTTCAAAAACTCGTGGAAATGGAATTGAAGAATCATGGAATGGAAACAAGAAACACTAGGAGGAAGTTGGGTAAGCAACATGGAAGGGACGAAAATGGATGAGTTGGAACAAAATGTGCAGCACTTGTGGAGTGTAAAAGTGATTATCTCCTCAGAAAACTCTCACCTGCGTGGCGAGTCAAAGTAAGAAGGAAAATGGAATTTCCCTATGAACTTTTTAAAGCCCCCTCATAGTTTTGGGGTCACACAAAGAGCTACCGATTACAATATTCTGAATGGTTTTCAGTGGTTCAGATCAGTCGAAGGCAGGATCTAAAGGAAAACACGATTTTTTTTAGCACTACTGATTATATCAATACAAATGGAATAGATTGATTGGCTAAAAGCCATAATTACGAGTCATGAGCTTGCAGAGCGGTCTCATAAACAATCACAAAACAACGGCATGGTGAATGTTTTCAGGAACAGGTATTTAAAAAATTACCTCACCAAAGATACAAGCTTCTTGGGGACACAAAGAATTTTGATAAAGTGCTGGTTGCTGACTCCATGTGGTATATCCACATATTTAGCCTGATCACAAAGGAAAGCATTTCTTTAATGATAGTGTCAGTTTCTAAGCAAGAAGGTATGAAAAGTTCTGTGGAGCCTTTTGCGTTAGCTCAGCCATTTTACCTTGGGTTGGATATCTTTTCATTTTATATTCCACTTGAATGGATCTATAGGTATATGAATAAACATGTTTGAGTCTCTATAGAGATTCCTATATATAATAAATCACATTGGGGGCACAGTTATGGATACTTTAGATATAACAAAAGGCCTCTTGGGATTGGTTTACTAGGTTTGAAGACTTAGGACCATGGTCTTGTGAGACAACTTGATTAATTGGCATAACATAGGTCATAAAGTTTATGTTCTTCAACCTAGTTTGCTGAGTAGCATCTGGGGTCTTAAAAACTTGCAAGTGAACATCTAAGACACAACTAAGATATTCTACTCATTTAGAATAAAAGAAAGTGAAGGAAGCAAAAGTTCGAAGAAGAGGTTCGTCCATAGGCTAACAGCTTACATGAACCACAGCCACCTGCACCCTGAGACCAGAAGAACTAGATGGTGCCTGCTTTCCACTCCCAATGGTGTGATCAGGCATAGGATTAAAAACTCCCAGGTAGAAGGGGCAAACTGTATTCATCTTGTAGACTAGAGAAACAAAATCACAGACACATATGTGTATAAGAAAAAGCTTTGTATAAAAGAGCAATTGAATATTGAGAAAACATCCCAGCCCAGTTCAGATCAAGTCCATAAGTCTGATATTAGCCCATAAGTCCAATATCAATCTATAATGTCCACTTCAGACTCACGAAACACATGCAATGATACCAAATGCAGGATGATCACAGGCCAGTGGAGGGAAGTCTTGTGGGTCCAGTGGCGGTGTAAGCATCTCAGTGCTGGCAGGGGTCTCTATGTGGTTCTTCAAGCTCAAGGCACTAGTATAG